GAAAAACAAACTTTTGAATTAGAATATTACTATATTATGTCAAAATTATACTCCGCAAAACAACAAAGTAGAGTTTACTTGGCGCTAGCTGTCCGACCTCCTACGCGATCAGCTTTTTCTTTGACGGTGCATGAGTATGCATGCATGCCATTTGGACCAATCTCGCAAATATTCATCATTATATTACGCCAACCCAGTTGTACTAATAAAACACTGGGGGCCGGTTAAACGCTAATAAAACTCGTGACTATGGTTAATTTAATCATGATTCGGGACTTAAAAATACCCAGCGAGCTTAGCATCCATCTTTGCTTAATTGCTTTCTTACTTTAGTTTAAAAAAGTGTTCGTAAACCAAACTTCTGAATGGCGGCAGAAACAACAATGCAGATACACCCTGAGTCGCGTGGTAACCTTTTTCTCTTTTTGGGTGTTCTTTCATTACTGACACAAACTTATCCATAAAAAGAAAACAAATCGGCATTCACAGTTGAATTTCTAATTTGAAAGATCAAGAGGAATGTTGATCAAATCTCGAAACACTATATATACACTTGTAAAAGAAGAAAATTTAATTATTTTATTCATTTGTTAAGCGAGAAGTGTATAGATTTAGTCTGATCGGTTTTGGATGTTCTCATTTTAGTAACTTTACTTACTTGCAGATTTAGTGCTTTAACTAATAAATATGTCCATTTTACGAAGTTTTCACCAAAGAGTATGCTTTCGGGAGGGAATTTTGACGCCATAGACAATTTTTTCAAGATGTTTTTCAATTCGATGGTACTCTAGGGTAGAAAGTCATCGCTTTAACGACGGAAGCTCTAACGGCAGAGAACAAATTCTTGTGTGGGGTGTGCGGCAGAGGGTTCCAAAGAGACCAGAACTTGCAGCTTCACCGGCGGAGCCACAAGCTGCCATGGGAGCTAAAGAACCGCGACGGAGATGCGGTGGCCCCGAGGAAGAAGCGTGTGTATGTTTGACCGGAAGCGGACTGCCCCCACCACCACCGCTCCAGATCAGAGCGATCGTAGATCTCTCCGGCATCAAGAAGCACTACTGTCGGAAACACAACGAGAAAAAGTTCAAGTGTGACGGCTGCGCCAAGGCATACGCCGTCGCCTCCGATCTCAGAGTCCACCTCAAGAATTGCGGCTCTGAACTCTGTTGCCTTTGCGGAGATATCTTTTCTAAGTAATTCTTTACTCTTTTTCCACCACCAACCCATATACATATTTTAAAATGCGAATGATATATCTCGCCGTGAAGTACGTAAAGTATTAGGACGTACATTTTCCTTTTTAGGTATGGTATGATATGGTCGGGTCATACACCCGTCAAGTTTTATCGCCTCTAAACTAACAAAGTAATACTTTCTTCGCCTTAGAACTTTGGCATGTTTGATCGGCGAGTAAATTAATAAAGTAAAACTTGTGTAATTAAAATTTGTGCAGAAGAGAGAAAATTAATTTGAACCACACATTCTTTACCTAAAAAGAAAGGAATTTTATCAATTCAGGGCCTGAAAGATAGACGAATTATCAATCCGGAACTCGAAAGATGAAATGTGTCGATATAGAACCCGAATGATGGAAAACTATCAATCTAGGACCCTACAATTCATAGGTTTTGATTTATTTAATTTTTTATTAATTCCATTGCTAATTTTTTATAAAATCTTCTTCACAAAAGTTTATTAGTTTAATTAAAATAAATAATATTTAAAATTTTAAAATAAAAAATAAAATAAAATTCATGACAACTTAGGTCCTAAATTGATAGTTTTCAATCATTCGGGTCATATATCAATATAATTCATCTTTCAGGTCCCGGATTGATAATTTATCTATCTTTCAGGTCATCGATCGATAAAATTCAAGAAAAGGGGTTAACTTAGTGGGACAACAAGAAAAGCAAAGTTGACAAAGTTTTAAGGGATGCATGGAGTAATGAATTAACTTTTCTTAATTCATTAATTAAATTGCCAGAATTTATACTTTTGAAGCATTTTCAAGTCTTGATATTGATCTGTCCTTGCAGCACAATATTTTTCTTCAATGACAACTTCTTGTTTTCATGTTGTTCCCTTCACTAAGATGAAATGGAACATATCATGTGCTCCAGTAGTTCAGCTAGAGGAAAATGCACTGAGAAAACAGTAACAGTCATACTCTGATTCTAAGAAAGATAAAGAAATTATGTTCTCTGCATTATTCAGTTACTTCATACACCACTACCAGGCTTTTTCATGTCACAAGCTTAATATTTGAATCATGCATTGCCCTAAGGGGTGTTTGGTTTAAGTAGACGGAGATTACTCGGGTAATGTGGAGTGTGGATTTCATACTTGGATTCAGGTTTTCATATTACAAGGGTAAATTTAGATTTAGCTTAATCTGCTCACCTTGGGGCTTTACAGTCATCGTTTTATTGATTTTAGAGAGATTCACCTAAATAGGACTAAATCAAGGTAGAATTGCAAAAATAGGACTACTATGTTTTATTTAACAAAAATAGGACTAAAAAGAGGTAATCTGACAAAACTACCCTTAGTTAAAAAGCGATGCACACCAGCGATGCACACCAGCGATGCACATCAACCTCCATCGATACCTTCAGAGCACCGCAGCGCCATGTGTTGTAGCTTGCATCATCGGCTACCAACCCTGCACTCATCGGCGACCAGGTAGGTAATCTCTTCTTCTTCTTCTTCTTTTTCTTCTTCTTCTTCCTAGTTCTCTGCTTTTTTTATTTTATCAATCAGATTTTTTCTAATTTTTTTATTTTTGAAAGTTTCAAATGAAGTTATATCTACACTTGAATTTCTTGTTATCAATTTTGATTACTCTGATTCTCAAAATGCCTTGACTGATGTTTTCAGAAAATGTTACTTTTGAAAGAGAGAATGTCATAATCATTAGGTATATTTAAAAAATGTCACATTTATGTCATTACAATATTTGAAAATATCATATTGAGAATGTCATATTTCTATACAAAATTGTCATTATTGTGTCATTATGCATATTAAGTGACATTCTCGCATATGAAGTGGCATTCCTCATGGAGGTTTGTACAATCACTTTCATGATAGTTTCAAAGAAGTAAATGTAATGCCACAAACATGACATTTTTTTCTTCAAATAACCAACAATTTTGACATTCTCAAATTATACGAGTGGCATTTTATGTACTTAATAAATACAACTTAAATCCAAAAAATCTAAATTAATAAATAAAATTCAAATCCAAAAAATCTAAAGAAGAAGAGAACATAGGACCAAAAATTTGAGATGGAATAGAGGAGGAGGAGGAGGAGAAAGGAGGGAGGATACCTATGGTCGATGACGGAGCTGCGGTGCGTGGCAATAGCGATGGCGAAGTTGCTTTCCATGAGAGGAAGGGATGTGCGGAAGGGGAGAGCGATAGATGAATTGCAGAAGGGGTAGAGGGATCGATGAATTGCAGAAGGGGGGATCGATGCACTGCAGGAGAGGGTTTCGATAAATTGAAGGGGGATGTGGATTTTAATTGTAGAAGGGCAAAATTGTAATCTGGAGTCCCATTTAAGCAATTTAAAACTTCAAGTCCTATTTTGGAGTTTTAACCATGTTTTAGTCCCATTTGTAATAATTTCTTTTGATTTTAATACTTTGTTTGTTCCTTGAACTAGATATTGCTGCATTAGCTTAAGAGTTCTCTCAATAACTATTAAATATCATTAAGTCTCACATTCGCTTGATCGATTCCCTGGTAAGTTCCTTTTACCTAAGTTAATCTTGGGTTTTATCCAACCACTGTCTAAACCAAAGAAGTTTTCTCTAACCACCCTAAACGATCTAAGATGATTATTGCTGAAATATTGGTAATTTTTTGGGATTGCGCATAAAGTACCAATTCCAGGTGTCATGGACAACCCGAATTCCTAACGCCACACCCTAAAGTGCAATTAAAGCTCCAATTACTTGTGGGCTAGTACTTTAGCCTAGGTGTGCCTGTAGGGTTCTTAGTGAACTATTGCTTGACCTAAATAGTCCGGTGGAGTTGAATATTATTATTAGTCATACTTAGATAATAGAATGTATGATAGAATCGGGATTGGTGAGAGACTTGGAATGTCCAACTTAATAATTCTAGTATGAGCTGGTCAAACCCCAACACAACACAAGTATGAAACAATGTTGCATATTTTCGGGTTCTGTCAGATGGCTACTCAGGTTTGGGAGTAAGTACATTGGAATGTCCAAGCTCATGTTGGTATTAGTTTTTTGAAGTGGACAGAGAGTTTCTTTCACACCTAGGCTGAAGAGAGTTGTTGCTTGTTTGTTGTCATCATCATATGGAGTATCCGGCGAGCCAGGAATATAAAACTATGGGAGCAAAGGGAGGTTTTAGCAAAAGGAACAGTGACACAAGCTAGGCTTTTCTGGATGGTTGGCGTAGAGCACTAGAAGGATGTAAGAAGACTAAGGTGCAGAGTGGAGCCTCAGTAGGCTGGAAAAAACCGGAGGTGGGCCGTCTGAATACAGTACGCGTTTCAGGTTATTTCAAGCATTAATTCTGTTCGGGTGACTTTCTTTCGGGGTTGATCATTGAAGATGTAAGAGATATTTCGACTAGTTTCACTAGTATTTCTTTTGCTCATGTGAAGCGGTATGCGAATCGGGTAGCCCATGATCTTGCATGGGCTGTTGTTTCTACGAATCAGGTAGCCCATGATCTTGCATAGGCTGCTCTTTCTATGTGTGACCACTATGATTGGCTTTATCATTATCCCACTTGTATTTCTGTTTCTTTAAACCATCATTTGCTTAATAATAATAATTAACGAGTTCTGCTTCAAAATAAGTATATCAATTCTGATTCAGTCTCATTCGAGAATATAAAATAAATACAGGTTGAAATATTCGTACTCTGTAAAAGGAAAATCAAATTTTTGAATTAGAATATTACTATATTAGTTCAAAATATACTCCACAAAACAACAAAGTAGAGCTGACTCGGCGCTAGCTGTGCGACCTCCTACGCGATCAGCTTTTTCTTCGAGAGTGCATGAGCATGCATGCATGCCATTTGGATGAATCTCGCAAATATTCATCATTATATTACGCCAACCCAGTTGTACTAATAAACCACTGGGCCCGGTTAAACGCTAATAAAACACGTTACTATGGTTAATGTAATCATGACTCGGGATTTATAAATACCCAGTGAGCTTAGCTTCCATCTTTGCTTAATTGCTTTCTTACTTTAGTTTAAAAATGTTCAAATTAAAAAAGTGTTGTAAACCAAACTTCTGAATGGCGGCAGAAACAACAATGCAGATACACCCTGAGTTGCCTGGTAACCTTTTCTCTTTTTGGGTGTTCTTTCCTTACTGACACAAACTTATCTGTAAAAAGAAAACAAATTAAATCGGCATTCACATTTGAATTTCTAATTTGAAACATCAAGAGGAATGTTGATCAAATCTCGAAACACTATATATACACTTCTAAAAGAATAAAATTTAATTATTTTATTCGTTTGTTATGTGAGAAAAGTATAGATTTAGCCAGATCGGTTTTGGTTGTTCTCATTTTAGTAACTTTACTTACTTGCATATTTAGGGCTTTAAGTAATAAAGCTGTCCATTTTAAGGACTTTTCACCAAAAAGTATGCTTTCCGGAGGGAATTTTGACGCCATAGACATTTTTTTCAAGATGTTTTTCATATCGATGGTACTCTATGGTAGAAAGGATCTTTATTTCAATGTGGATGTTTATTAATTTCAAAATCGAATGTGTGAATAAAGTTATAGGACTAATAACAGACATAACATGCAATATTGAAATTCGCAATCTCACTTAAGGTAGACTGGATTGAATAAGAGTGGTATGTTACTCCACTTATGGTAATTTTTTTAGTTAACGTTTTGAATTTGTGTTTGATTAGCATTGAGATGCATGAAGAATGATAGAGTGTACTTGATTGAAGGGAAATTTATAACTCAAATATTTAAAGATACCTGATACTATGTGATTAACAAAGTTAAGGATGACTATATATGAGTAATAATTAGATTTAAGGGAGAAAATGTAGCATAAAAAACTATTTAGTCATATTTCAGATATCTTTAATTAGTTGTTTTAGTTATACTCATAGATATTTTCTCTTGATTAAATTTTCACTTTATAATAGGTGGGGATGATCAAGATGTGGAAGTCATCGCTTTAACGCCTGCAGTTCTAACGGCAGAGAACAAATTCTTGTGTGGGGTGTGCGGCAGAGGATTCCAAAGAGACCAGAACTTGCAGCTTCACCGGCGGAGCCACAAGCTGCCATGGGAGCTAAAGAACCGCGACGGAGATGCGGCGGCCCCAAGGAAGAAGCGTGTGTATGTTTGCCCGGAGGCGGACTGCCCCCACCACCACCGCTCCAGAGCGATCGGAGATCTCTCCGGCATCAAGAAGCACTACTGTCGGAAACACGGTGAGAAGAAGTTCAAGTGCGACGGCTGCTCCAAGGCATACGCTGTCGCCTCCGATCTCAGAGTCCACCTCAAGAATTGCGGCTCTGAAGTCTGTTGCCATTGCGGAGACATCTTTTCTAAGTAATTCTTTACTCTTTTTCAACCCCAACCCATATACATTTTTTAAAATGGGAATGATATATCTCCCGATGAAGATCCGAAAAAATTTAGGACATACATTTTCCTTTATGATATGGTCTGATCATGAACCGGTCTGGTTTTATCGGGTCTAAACTAACACAGTAATTCCCTCTCCGTCCCTTAGAACTTTGTCATTTTTTATTTGCGCGTAGATTAATTAAGCAAAACTTGTGTGATTAAGATTTGTGTAGAAAAGAGAAAATTAACTTGAATCATACATTCTTTACATAAAAAGAAAAGTGGTAAAGTTGATATAGTTTTAAGGTACGCATGGAATAATGAATTAACTTTTTAAAAAGATTTGTCATGCTCTAATTCTAAGATAGAAGTAAAAATGTTTTATGAATTTCACAATATGACTGTTATATTTTTATTCTATAAATATAAGTAATTATTGTCATATTTTAGCATTACCATACTTTAAACATGATACTACGTAACATTTTCCAATTAAGCTTGACAGTAATTACTCAAATTCAGGGATGAATAACATGACAGTCATATTTTGAAATTTCATAACGTTTTTGTTCCTATTTCAGAAACTTTTCATTTTAAAATATGTATCTAGTTTGAACTAATTTGTTGAGATCTAATATTGTATACTATCGTATATTTTATTGTTATATAGGTCTGATTTCTCTAAAATTAAAATTGTCTTGGTTTAATTTATTTAAATCTGATCAAATCTTATAATATCATTTATGATAATGTCCTTACGAACCAAAAAGTGTTTCATTTGAAATGCTCCATGTTTAAGTCATTGTTAGTTTTTCTTTAATTCTACGTAGCACCAAAAGCTCTCGGAAAAGAATACGTTTTCGTTTCGAAAAGTTTATAAAAACTTTGTGGAAACTCGTTCTTCAAATCAAACTTTTTTTGAACAAAAGTTAAAGCGTCTCATTTCCCATTTTCTCATGATTTTTGCGCTTCGAGCCTTAATTTAAGATATTTGAATTTTAATAAGAGCGTTTTTGTCCTAACTATTTTAGGAGGGAAAATATTGAAAGGCACCAGGAATATTGCAAATCACTGGAGCATGGCGCTGCAATGCGTGAATATCAGGAAAGGCCTTTTCGGATTCCGGCAGAAAGGCTCCCTTCTCCGCCGCTTACCGCCGGAAGCCACCCTGGTAAGGATAAATGATATATTTGCATATATTCGTCTTTCTAAATGATATTGAACTTTTCAGTTTATTTGACTTATTTCAGGTTCGGATTAGAACTAATTCAATAACCCAGATCATAAGATTCAATAGTTAAACCAAATTTAAACATGAAATAATTATATATGACTAAAATAAAGATTGGTTATAAAAATATGACTAGTAATCATAATAGTAACTTCTTGATCAAAAATATTTAATGTTTAAACTTAGATTTTATCATATACTCCCCCTGTGCTATTTTAGTTAGCCAAACACTATTTCTTAAGTAAATGGTGTCTAAGTTTGACCGATTATATATATTTATATACAAAAGCATTGATATTATGAAAATGATATAAATATATTCTTTGTCAAAAATCTACTCCCTCTCTCTCTCTAATTAGATTGTCTCTATCTTTTATTTTCGAAAAATCTAACTAAGATTTTCACATACTAAATTTGTTAAAGTTTGGATGATTATAAATCATTTTTTCTTTATTCTTACTTTAATTAAATGTCAATCACATAAATTAATTTTTCTTAATAATTGTGTCGCTTTTTCATGCCTCAATGTTAATGAGACGAGGGTAATATTATCAAGTATAAAATTATCAAAATTTGCATAAGTATATTTGTTAAAATAATAATTGATCAAATTTTATCATCTTTGACTGGAAAAATAAACCCGAGTCATTTAATATGAGTGCAGTTGGCAACAAACTTAATTATTTCAAAAGTATCATGATGACACACAATTAATAGTGTGGGTCATGCCCACGGTTGCTGTGGCGTTAGTTCACGTGTGTGATCAATACGGTCCATAATTATTAGTGTATGAAGCCGTTTAATTGCATCATCTTTCACTGTTTCATTTATATGTAGTTAGTTTATTTCACTTGTGTGTAAAAGTGAAAAGACCACCTCTCTCTGTATATATTAATTTTGTATGTAGTATTAATTTGCAGCCTAAATAATCTATCTGATACTCCCTTCGGTCCCAAAACAAATTCACACTCACTATTCATTGGTCATCTTAAATCACTTAAATTTTCTTGATCAGACTTTGTAACGATTTTAATGTAGTTTCTGAATATGTAAATTTTATTTACTAAAAATAATCCGAGCGTGAACAAGGATCGAGTTGCTTTATCGTCAGTCAAACATCATAAACCGTGAGTGAATTTGTTTTGGGACCGGAGGGAGTACTAAAAAGAAAACATTGCTTCAATTTGATTTTTCCAAATAAGCTTAAAGAAAGCTTTAAGTTTAGTTCTTCTATTAAGACTGAAAACGTCGTATGGAGTATTTTGAAATCCAAAAAAATTGGTCATATTTTTTAATTTTATATTTGTTCATGGATAATTTCTTAATAATTAACTCATTTAGACACTCTTTGTCTCTTACATAGGTAATAAGCACTCCATGATTTCACGTGAATGATGTGATTTACTTTCGTACATGTATTTTATTTGTCCCTTTATAGAAATACGGAGTAGCAATTTTGCTCTAAATTAAACGTGCTCTGACGATTTTATTAACTTGATCTTTTTATAAAAGTATTATCTTGATTACTCCGTTTTTATTAGATTCATGTTCAACTAATTACAAAATTTGTAGAAAATAACAATTTCACCCTTGTTTGGGATATCGTAAAATCATCATTTTGTTGGCACATTCACTTCTTGCTCCTAAGTTGATATAGTCATAATGTTTTTCGTCATTTAATAAAAGGAGAGATGTTAGAATTAATTTAATATGTTTACACTTCAGTTATTTAAATATCACATTAAACTAAACTAGACCATATTATGACGAAACTAAATTAGTATCACTCAATATTATACCACGAGAGATTATGACAAAACTAGATTAGCGTCGCTGAATATTACACCCTTTGTCCCATTTTTTTTTCAAATTTCTTTATTTAGTCGGCCCAAAAATTCTCATTTACATATAAAGTAAAAACAATACTTTATATATGGTTAAAATTATTTTCTTTTGCAAAAATCTCAACCAAACGGTTTTATATAATTTTTCCATATGCTAGTCAAATTTACTCATTTTTGTGAGATGGAAAAAGTATATTATAATTGTTGATGCTACAACCATTACAAAAAAAATTGGCACGCAGTTGGCACAAACTTCGCACGGATCTTTGATACAGATTCGTCAAAATTCATAGGGTATTTGAAATTAAAAAAAAGTCATATTCTTTAGTTTTACACGTGTTCACGTTTTGTGAGTGCCTATACCGTACGACCGGTATACCGGTACGGATTTATATTTTTTTTTCCTTTTGTTTTTAAAAAATGGTAATAACTTTTTTATTTTTGATCCGATTTTTATAAAATTCATATCAACATTTTTTATTTTTCATGATCTTTCAAATGAGACCAATATTGCCTATGTAATTTTAACATATTAACATTTGCGTGTAAAATATGTAACTTTACGTGTTAAAATATGTAACTCACATTCAATCAGGCCAAATGCAACTCGTGTGTATAAATATGTATCTCTACGTGTAACAATATGTAACTTTACGTAAAAAAATATGTAACTCGCGTTCAGACAGGTCAAATGCAACTCGTGTGTATAAATATGTAACTCGCGTGTATAAATATGTAACTTTACGTGTAAAAATATGTAACTTTACGTGTAAATATATGTAAGTCACGTTCAGGCATGTCAAATGCAACTCGTGTTTATATATATGTAACTCGCTTTTAAAAAGATGTGACTTGCTTATAAAAAGATGTAACTTGCTTATAAAAAGATGTAACTTGCTTATAAAAATATGTAACTCGCTCATAAAAAGATGTAACTCAATGTATTATCAAATGTAACTGAGGCCACTGATCCACTTCCAAACAGATTCGATCTTCTATTTCACAAACCTATCATCTCTCAAACAGATTCGATTTTCCTTATAATCCAATACTCATTAATATAATAGTTCGATAATTTCTTAAAATTACATAAGCAATATTGGTCTCATTTGAAAGATCATGAAAAATAAAAAATGTTGATATAAATTTTATAAAAATCGGATCAAAAATAAAAAAGTTATCATCATTTTTTAACAACAAAAGCAAAAAAAAAAAGGGGGGGGGGGGGCAAGCTGCGTCGTTTTGCAACCGGGCGCACCATCCTCATGGTGCGCCGGTTGCACGATATAATTTGCCTGTTTTGTTGTTATAGTGGATAATTTATTACTACCTCCGTCCCGCTATGATTATCTCATTTTACCTTATCAGTCCGTCTCACTAAGATTGTCTCATACCAATTTTGATAAAGTGTGTGACTCTAAATCATTCTTCCTTTATTCTTACTTTATCAATTCAATATCAACCACATGAACCACTTTTTATTAATTTGCGTGTCACTTCCTTTTGTCTCATTGTTAGCGGGACGGAGGGAGTAATAATTAACTCCTTTGGACACTCTCTACCTCTGGTAAACAAGTAATAAGCACCCCGTGATTTCACTTACGTGGATGAGTGATTTAGGTCTAATGTGCTTTCTTATACTATCGTATTTTATTTGTCCCCTTATAGAAAATAACAATTTTGCCCTAAACATGTTTTCTGTGAGAAACAAAAAAAAGGCTTCACATCACATTGTGTGTACAAGTTTGTAAACGGTAAAATATGTACAACAAGAATTGTTGGATTCATAATGGACCGAAATATTTACCGGTAATATAGTTTCATAATTTGAATGTGCTTAAACAATTACAGTTTTTAACGGAAAAGAAACTTATATTACGCAAAACATGATCGAATGTACGTTGAGTGTTCTCTACACAAAATGTGATATTATGAAAATAAATAAATTCTAGCTAGTATAATCATAGTTGTCACTTTCTGAGTGATACTAATAGTGTTAATATTTATTGTTTTTCTAAAAATGTTTAATCTCTTTATGTTTAGTTTGATATGATATGTTTAAGTCTAGTAACGCCACTAACATCGGCCCACAGCGTTTATTGGTGGCCTACAATTTTCAGGACAAACACAAATTGTGACTTCACCTGTTGGTGTCATGCGAAGCCAGGCGAGCTCATCTTATGTGCATCCTTCTCGCCTCTACGGCCATGCATCACCGCCATTCCAGTACATGGCTGCCTCAAGTCCCCCACTGTTGTCGCCTGCGCTATCCGCAACTGCAGTTCTTCAACGAGCCGCACAAGTAGGCTCAACGTACTCTTCCTCTTCCGGTGGTGATGATGGTAGTGGTGATTCATATATTCGTGGATTGGCTGGTCGTTCACTAAACACTGAGAATGAAGCGATGATGGTTCCATCAAGTGGATTCCTGGAGTATTCCCAGATGGACAGGTCATCTCCCGCGATGATCTTTGATGCCAACTGCCCGTCGACTCTGGATTTTCTCGGCTTGGAAAGCGGTGGCTATGGCAACGCGAGCACTTCCCGTCGCTGGTAGATCAGGCAGATGGGTTTGGCATGGGTAACCTCATGTCATGTCTCTTGTTTCTCAATTCCCTGTTTCAAACTTTCTTTAAGATTGCACATGCAACAATAACTTTTGGACTACCTTGAGTTGGTTTAAGTAATTTAGTTCAATTCGGCAGTTGATGTACACAGACATTGTGTTGTGTTTTCATTAGTTTCGTTATTGTGTTGCACATGACTTGGAGATTTCCATGTGCAAGTATCCTGGTTTTCCTGTCTTTTGGAGCAAGAAAAATCATATATATACAACACAGGTTCAAAGCAATTATGCCTAAAAACCTCTTGTTAAGTAAAAAAATGATTATATTAAAAGTCATAAACTCTAGTTTCATTTATTGGTTTAACTAAATTTATCATCTACAATTTGTTGGTCCGTTTTTCCTTGAAAACTAAAACGAAAATGCAATTTGTTTGTCATCTTCAATTTTGTAAACTCTAATTTTATTTATTGGTTTAACTAAACGTTTGCACAATATCACCTTATGTTCGGATAGACAAACATAGAAATGACTAATGAGACAAGAAGAAACACAGAGAGACATCCGTGAGAACAAGATTCATATTTTGAGTCCATTTGACAACTCTGTTTTTCGATTTATAATTTTTATTAGCCAACTTTTACGCCAAACACGTAACTTTCCTCTTTCATCAAACACATAACTTTTCGTTTCGTGCACCGAATGGTCTAATAATCAAAATAAGTATGGTTAACGTTATTTTCTGGCTAGATTAGCTAAAGTTATTGAAAAAAATCATTTTAGCTACTTTTCATATGATTTTTTCTTTATTTTAATAATAAAATATATTTTAAATAAAATTTTTAAATATAATTTTTTCATAATTCCGCAGAATTAGTCAATCCAGTCACTTTAGCCAAAAATTTATAAATCTCAGCAGAATGAGTCAATTCCAATGCAACCAAATGGGCTGTTTTTGTGTCTAAACTTGGTATAAAGGTGGTGTTCATATATTTATTTGACATTGAAGGACGAAACTGGTTTAGCTTGATGAACAAGTGAGGATTATCCTCGATTCTGAATCGGAACCGCCGATTGGAAATTTCAAATTTTGAGGAACCAGAACTGGAACAGCACATTACCGGTTCCAAAACCAGCGCTTTTAGATCCAATCAATCTAGTTCAGCTTTCCGGTTCCATATTTTTTAGATGTCAAATTTTAGTTGAATTTTTTAAAATAAATTAATTGAAGGGTTCCCAATAAAAATTAGAAGAACTAATTCTTTTTTATAACTAAGTACAATAATAATATACGTAGTAGTTAAATTAATTCCGTTGTAAAAAACTACAAGCTGGTATATTAAAATAATTTAGTTATTATTAAACTACATATACATATTACCAATAATTTTAAAAAAAAAGTACTACGTATTTAAACTGAAGTAATCACAAACGAGTGGTAACAAGTAACTAGTATCATTCTCATTTCTATTATTAGTACAACTAATATTATTACTACTACTTTTGAACAACCAAACCGGCACTACAAAAAAACACGTCGTTTGTCACGGATTTTGTCACGGACGCCAGTTCATTAACTACTAAAGTTTGGATCCTAACTGAAATCACTACAAATCCTAAATTATGCATTAACAATAATTAACTAATAAACAAATTAAACCTAATCATCATCATTGATCAATTAATTAACTAATATTTAAATCTAACTAATATTATCAACTCAAATTCCTCAATGTTTTAACTTAATTAATTAGTTAATTAATTTACATTTAACTAATATTATTGTTAAATATTATCTCATTAATAATTCACAATAATAATTCACAATAATAATTCACACTAAACTAAATAAAATTAAAGTTTCAACCCGGCCTAGCTATATATATTATGCATCCCATTAACAATAATGAACTAATTTAACTTATTAATTAGTTAATTTCCATTTAACTAATATTGTTAAATATCATTAATTCACAATAATATATAATTCACACTTAACTAATAAAGTTTGAATCCTAACTTAAATCACTACAAATCCTAAATTAATCATTAACAATAATTAACTAATTAATAAACAAATTAAACCTAATCATCATCATTGATCAATTGACTAATATTTAAATCTAACTAATATTATCAACTCATCAAATTCTAAACCCATTTCCTCAATGTTTTAACTTAATTAATTAGTTAATTTCCATTTAACTAATATTGTGAATTATTATTGTGAATTCACAAAAATAATTCACAATAATAATTCACACTAAACTAAATAAAAATAAAGTTTCAACCCTAGCTATATATATTATGCATCCCATTAACAATAATTAACTAATTTAACTTATTAATTAGTTAATTTCCATTTAACTAATATTGTTAAATATAATTAATTCACAATAATATATAATTCACACTTAACTAATAAAGTTTGAATCCTAACTTAAATCACTACAAATCCTAAATTATGCATTAACAATAATTAACTAATTAATAAACAAATTAAACCTAATCATGCATTATCATCATTGATCAATTAACTAATATTTAAATCTAACTAATATTATCAACTCATCAAATTCTAAACCCATTTCCTCAATGTTTTAACTTAATTAATTAGTCAATTAATTTACATTTAACTAATATTATTGTTAAATATTATCTCATTAATAATTCACAATAATAATTCACACTAAACTAAATAATAATAAAGTTTCAATCCTAGCTAGCTATATTAATTATGCATCCCATTAACAATAATTGCTAATAAATAATAATTGGTGATAATTAATAACCTAATAATTAAGCTAGCTAACTAATTAATTAAATCACTACAAGTCACTAATTAATTAATCTATAATAAGCTAGCTAATACTTAAATCATCACTACACATCCTAAATTATTATGCACTAATAATAACAATAATTTAACTAATTAATATTTATATTTAAATTTAACTAATAATTAATTATTTAACTAACCTCACTGATTAATTATTAAGCTAATAATTAATTATTATTATATAAAGAAAAAAGAATCCTAACCTCACTAATAATAATTAATTAATTAAGCTAATAATTAATTTATCACACAATTAAAGGAAATTAATTAAAATGACATACCTTATCAGCATAAACTCGGAAAATGATGAACTGACGGATTACATCATTCAATCTTTAAACCGATACTACATCACTCGAATCTACGAATTTTTAAACTGATTGTTGTTCTTGCAATTGTAATGGACGATGGAGTTGGGTTATATAAAAAAATTTGTCACGGATTTGTCACGGATTTATCCGTGACAAATCTTTTTCTGTACCGCATTATTAAAGGTTACCGCTGGAAAATCAATAATTGAGTTTTTTTGAAATTTGTCACGGATTTGTCACGGATTTATCCGTGACAAATCTTTTCCCATACCGTGTTATTAAAGGTTACCGCTGGAAAATCAATAATTGATTTTTTTTGAAATTTGTCACGGATTTGTCACGGATCTGTCCGTGACAAATGCCCGGAAGCAAAAAAGTATTCACCGGAGTAAAAAACCGGTCGCCGGAATAAATTTGTCACGGACCAAATCCGCGACAAAATTTTGTCACGGATTTTGTCACGGATAAATCCGCGACAAATAATTTTCGTGACAAATCCCAAAATTCCGTGACAAAGCCCGTGACAAATTTGTCACGGCCGGAATCCGTGACAAAAATCCGTGACAAACGGCGTGTTTTTTTGTAGTGCGGACTAGCAAACCTCCTCTTCTAAGTCACAAGTACGAAGCGGTTCGGGTTCCAGTTCAAAAACCGGTGGTTCCAGTTTAGCCGGAAACCATGGACAGGTCTAAAATCTGGCTTCCTTTTTTACCAAAAATGTTTTGAGACATGGCTCTCTTTTTTTAGGATTAAATTCATGTTTCATATTTCAAAATTAAAAGATGATTGATAGAGCTATATATAGCACTACAGGTTCTACTTTTATTTTCCAGTGGTATTAAGAAGAAAGTGCAAATTAGTTATACATACGGAATGAATAAATACCTATTTATAATGAACAGTCACAACAAAAGCAGATTCTTATCTTAACGTAGTATATATTAAAAGCATTACAATGTTCCAATAATTAAAACCTGCGTAAACACTAACCCTTTTATTGACAGCTTTTCCCCAGTTCATTACCTCGTTGATCAACAAGAACACCTTAAATCCTTGAGCACTGATGTTGGCGGCTACATTAAGTCATAAACCAAAAGATAATCTCTAAAACATTGTGAACATCGTTGGTTATCACTTAGCAGCAATTTGTATTCAATAACTGAATCTTATATTTATGTACAGTCCCACTAAACACAGCTTCTTATAGAAACATCATGTTTCTCACATTAGCTTTGTTAGTCATAGTACATGAGTCTCTGGCTATAATAAGCGCTTGTTGTCTTTACTGTATAGAGTAGGACTGCATGTTCTTGTTGGATATTTACATAATGTGCAACATGTAATATGGAGAGTGAGTATAGGTGTGATCACGTTAATTCAAACATATGAAAATAACTTCCATTAACATTTTTTTTCCTTTCTCTAGCATTTTCCCAGATCCAAATATACCCTAACAGAACCACAGCAAACCAGGTGAAGGTAGATGACATTCTCCTATTCAGGACTCCAGGATACACGAAAATTGTGCTATCTTGTTTATACTCTTATAGTCTTTTTGCATATGATGATGTCATTAAGTTGTGACCGAAACTGGCGCTGACAACCCATCCATTTTCATCATGCACTGATATTTGGATGGGGCAATGGCCCCTGCCTTGGTGCATAGATCTACAACGGCAGGGGCATGTCCATAGTAGTTTCGACCCTCATCAAGTAGCAATGGAGGATCTTGAGGCCGTCTGAACCAGACTACATTCTGAGGAACCAAATCGTCCACACCTGCCTTCTCCCAAAAATGCCCTCGCCGCCAACTTTCATACTTAAATACCCCACAAAGCCGAGCCTTATGTCCGGAGGGTCCCACGTGAACTTCCGAACAGTGTTTGCACACCTTCGTGGGATAAACCAACAGCAGCTTAACTACTCCGGACCTGACCCTTTCCCAAGCTTTTAAAGTCTCTATCCCTATCGACATCATTTCCTGATCGAATGAAGGTTCAGTTATCAAATGGCTTTCCAGTTCCCTCTCTCTTGTGATTGCGCATTCCTCATCTAGATTAGCACCGGCTTGTAAGCACAATTCCACAACGGCAGGAATCCGGTCGTGATCAAATCTTTCATGGTGTTTGATGATGTTCTGAAACATGTTCTGCAGATGATATGTTTGTACAGGGAGTAGGATGTTCTCTAAAGTTCCTTTGACCCAAGCATGAAGCTGGGTCTTTGACTGCCTCCTATATCCACCACATGTTCGAATTAAATGACCGCTTTCTCCTACATACACCTCTGGGCAGTACCTGCAGTGAAATAAATTCAATCACACCATAAATAAGGGTCTGTCTGTTCCCAGGAAATACTTAGGAGATTAAAGAGTGAAAACGTAAAGGAAAATGAGAAGGAAAGAAAAAGTGTGTTGAAATAAAACATCAGTTACAACTCAATACACTTATTTTAGATATTTGTTGACACTCAGTTTACGTATTTGAATCTATTTTATAATGACTACAAGATCAGAATATATGTAAACACGAATAAACTGTTCAACAAATTATCACATATCAGTTTCATAACTTTTCCAGATGAAAAGAAAACACAAAACAATGATTATCCTTGGAACTTCTTTTTTCCTTTCTGGAGCATTTTTGGGATCCAACGATACCCTAAGTGTGCCTATTGTATGTGTGGGCTTCATTAATTAAATTGCCAGAGTTTATACTTTTGAAGCATTTTCAAGTCTTGTTATTGCTCTCTCCTTGCAGCACAATCTTTTTCTTGAATGACAACTTCTTGTTTTCATGTTGTTCCCTTCACTAAGATGAGATGGAACATATCATGTGCTCCAGTAGTTCAGCTAGAGGAAAATGCACTGAGAAAACAGTAACAGTCATACTCTGATTCTATGAAAGAAAGAAATTATGTTCTCTGCATTATTCAGTTACTTCATACACCACTACCAGGCTTTTTCATGTCACAAGCTTATTATTTGAATCACTCATTGCCCTAAGGGGTGTTTGGTTTAAGTAAACGGAGATTACTCGGGTAATGCGTGGAAAGTGGAAACTAGGAAAGTAATGTGGAGTGTGGATTTCATACATGGATTCAGGTTTTCATATTACAAGGGAAAATTTAGATTTAGCTTAATCTGCTCACCTTGGGGCTTTTTAGTCATCGTTTTATTGATTTTAATACTCTGTTTTTTCCTTGAACTAGATATTGCTGCATTAGCTTAAGAGTTCTCTCAATAACTATTAAACATCATTAAGTCTGACATTCGCTTGATCGATTTCCTGGTAAGTTCCTATTACCTAAGTTAATCTTGGGTTTTATCCAACCACTCTCTAAACCAAAGAAGTTTTCTCTAACCACCCTAGACGATCTAAGATGATTATTGGCTGAAATATTGGTAATTTTTTGGGGTTGCGCATAAAATACCAACTCCTAACTTCAGAATTGTTGCCTGCAGCTTTAAGGGGTGCATTTCCGCGTTTCAAAAACTTTTAGGATACCTTTATTACAAACAGTTTCCCTTTGGCGATTCTGGTTTCAAGTTTCGCGTGCCATTGAGATCAAAATTGTTAATTACTTTTTTAGTTGAGAGAAAATATTGAAATTCTACAAGCATATGCACAAAAAAACATAGGAATCTGTAAGAGGAAAAGAGATGTGTGAATTACTTGCACGCCCACACCGGGATATGTTGGAGGAGGGTGGATACTCCACGGTAGAGCAGGGTTCTGGACTTGAGGACCTCCTCCGCCACAGGGATCATTCCTTTCACCGGATAATCCTTCGCTCGGTTCTCAATCCTCTTAAGAATCATCGGCCTAAGCTTTCTCAAGTCTACCACCTTAGGGTTCGTTCTGTAGAACCGAAACACATTCAACACAGTTCCCAACATAATTTCATTGCGTCTCCATAGCTCAAGGCTTCTCCAAGCCATTCCGACAGTTGCGAGTGATTATCGTCGGATCAGCAGGCATCGCCGTCTAGATGACGGTAGTGCTGGGAGAATAAGCTGCACCGGTGAGGAGGGATTGTGGGCTTCAATGACAAAAGCATCCTAACGGCCCAACTAGATTTTTATCGTGGGCTTTCCTTTGGTCACTACATGATCGTTAATAGGCCGATATCCACTATCCCTAACAAATATTGTAAGCATGAATTATAAGAGGAGGTTTGACGCACTTTTTAAATCACATGAGGCTAATCTTCTGAATTTATATTCCACGGGGGTTGGTGCATTAAACTTCATTTTGTATAACATAGTTTTGCCCTATATATTACTAAAGTAGAGACAATTTCCAAAAATGCGACCACAATAACATTAGGACAAAATGTGATTAAGGAGGTCATATTCATGTCATTATCAGATTTTAATGTTACTGTCCAATTTTATGTCACTATCAAATGTTACTGTCGCGACCGTCGGTGTCAGTGTAGCCATCGTCGGTGTCACTGTAGTCACAGCCTGTGTCACTGTAGCCATTGTACGTGTCACTATAGCCACCGCTCATGTCACTCATGTCATGAAACATGTCATTGTAGTCGTTTTCGTTTAATGACGCGGCCCACCTTAGAGAAATGGACACCCACCGGTTAACTCACTGACCACCACCACCACAGCCGGCCGCCACAACGGCGGTTATCCCCACAACATTGAACTTCCCCACCCGCAACACCTCCCCCATCCTAAGCCCTTGCAGATTTGCTACCCAACACCATACTCCGCCCCTGCGACAATGTTGGACCCTGTTTCTAACAATAAAACAATCATATGAAGTGAAGAAGAAGCAGATAGAAAGATATTGAGATGATAAACAAATCTGGTATATCGTGAACTGGCCGCTGCTCTCCGTCTAGAGAGCAGCGGCAAACCTAATCTATCTATCTCGCATCTATACTCTAAAGCCTTAGGGTTTCCATAAGCTAGCTCCCTTTTATAGGAGAGGATGGCTAACTTATGGATTACAAAGAAGCTAATGGGCTGATATACAATTATGGCACATATTACACATTTACTTAATAACAACACAAATACAAAGATATTTAATTAGATTGGACACCATAAAATATTCCCAACAATCTCCCCCTTGGTGTTCAATCGTGTTCAATCAGCATTGTAGCGCAGATTTCTTTGTATGTGATCTTCAGTGCAGCTCAGCTTCCTTGGTCTTTGAACCCGGCTTCTTGAGAAGGCTTATTGAAGAAATCCTCACAATCTCCCCTTTGATTTCTTTTGGCAATTTGTTCTTTGATGTTGGGGGTTGAGGAATCTTCACTATCTTGCATGTAGTCCTTGCCTTCCAGAAGTTGCTCTTGATCAGCTTGGATGAAGTCCGAAGACGCCTCTAGAATGAATGTTCTTGAAGAATTGAAGACGCCCATGGAATTCACCTTCAGAATTTGATTAGCCGACTTAATCCCCTCCACAATGTAGTCTTTTTGACTATTTGGAATGCATGCATTTGAGGAGACCTTGTCGGTGGCACAGCTGAAAATGATGGTTGTCTTGTGAGTGTAATCGTCCATTTGATTCGAAGCTGACTTGGCAATTGAGTTGTAAAGATAGCAGAGAAAGTGTTGGAGGAGAGAAGTGTCCGAGAATGATTTGTTGAGTGTTAACAGCATGTGGACCACTCTCCCCCTCATGACGATCCGATAAATCGGGGCGTCATGCCTTTATTCTTTTATTCTGAGATGCAAAATAGAAAAAAAACAAAATAGAAAATTAAAATGGCAAAACCGGATACACTGAGGTGTTCCGTTATCACAACATCAATGTAAACACCGATGTGTGGCCTGTATAAAATGATAGAAACATTAAATCTCTAACAGGACTTCCAACCAGTCATTGTGAAACATCTAAAGTAGATGTCACTGTGGTTGTTATGGCATGATCATAAAGATCAGCAAAGATAATGTAGCCCCCGGGGTCGTGAAGATGCCCGTTATCATCACTGTAGAGATAAACTCTAAATGATTTGTATCATATAATTTGTGCTTTTGTCATCTTTAATCCCTACTTAGATGTATATTCTTAAGGAAAAATTGAAACTAATAATCTCAACTATTACCGGTCCGCAATTAATAATCCCAACTATCGATTATTCCTGAGTGGTCCCAACTATAGGGGCCATTTTCCAAAAACGGTCCCTGACATGTTACAACCTGGTGTAGCAAGTTATTTTTAAATGTGAACTATGTGTAAGCTTTCAATAATCTCAACTATAGTTGACCTTTTTTTATTAATCCCAACCATCAACTCTCACTTTTTTTAAAATGTAAAAATATTTTATAAATTTCCAAACTAAATATTTTTAAACATGTATAAATAATTACAAAAATTATACAAATGTGCCGAAGTTAAATAAAATATTTTGTAGTCATTTTTTGATTTATTTCCACTAATTGTTTTTCCTTTTTTCCAGTTTTTTCCTAGTTATGTTACCAATTTATGATTTTGTATTATTTTCTTTTATTCAAAATTACATTGTTTTCAAAAAGTAAATAATGATTGAAATTTTATTTATTTATTTTATGATATTTTAATTCTAAAAACCTAAATGTTCTATTTTTTCGTTTTAGTATTTCTATTTTCTATCTATTTTCTTTATTTTATACTATTATATTCTATAAATTATATTATATAGTTTATTATTTAATTTAGTGATTTGGGGTATAGATTTTGGAGGTTTTGACTATATATAATGAAAATGTATTAATATATAATTTTAAGTGATATAACAGAAATTGTAAGCATGTAGTGAAAGTGTATCAAAATGGTAATAATAATCCCAGCTATTTTGGTAGGTAGAAGAAGTGTGGACTTTTGGTAAACATTTTTTTATCGTCATTTCAAGCTATTCGCTTTTTTACATTGGTAGAAATTACAAACACTAAAATGGAATAAATAAAATTTTAGATTTTAAGATTAAGCTGGAATAAAGATCTAAATTGTAAAAAAAAATCACAATTCACCTTTTGAAAATACAAAATGTAAATTTAAATAAAAGAAAATAATACTAAATCATAAATTGGTAGTATAATTGTGACAAACAAATTGGGAATAAGACAAAATGAAATTTTAGTGAAAATAAATAAAAAATAACTATTTTTTTTATCTAATTTCGGTACATTTGTAGAGTATTCGTAATTAATAGTTCATGCTTAAAAATATTTAGTTTGCAAATTTTTAAAAATATTTTTACATCTTCGAAAAATTGAGAGTTGATAGTTGGGATTAATAAAAAAAGGTCAACTAAAGTTGGGATTATTTAAAGCTTACACATAGTTCATATTTAAAAATGATCTGCTATACCAGGTTTGTAACAGGTTGAGGACCATTTTTGGAAAATAATCCCTATAATTGGGACCATTCAGGAATAATCGATAATTCGGATTATTAACGACCGACAATAGTTTGATTTATTATTTTCAATTTTTTCTATATTTAATGGGGTCTGAAATATAACTATTCATGCCAAAATATCGTTGACGCTTCATACTTGTACTCCCTCCGTTCCCAAAAATACTTCCCACTTTCCTTTTTGGGCTGTTCCCAAAAATACTTCTCACTTTCCCATTTTGGACAATTTGTGTGGCTCACATTCATTTTACCTTTTTCTTACACAACCACAACCATATATTTCCACTTTATTCCACTTTCTTAATAAGCGTGTCAAGTCAAACCGAGAAGAATTTTTAGGAACGGAGGGAGTATTAATTTCTACATCAGAATATGTTTATGAAATTTCAAGATTGAAACCACAAAAAAACTTGTGTTTTTTATTTCATTTTAGATTTGGTTAACACGCCCCAATAATCTTTTGTTCGTCGACAGACAGAATGCGGACGAATTGTGCCATGCCGGAGGAAAACGTGTCTGCGTCGGAATCGGCGCCGGGATCACCGGATGAAAAGATCAAATTGTTATGTAGCCACGGAGGGAGGATTCTCCCACGCCCGTCGGACGGCCAACTCAAGTACGTCGGCGGTGAGACAAGAGTTATCTCCATCGCTCGAGGCATCAAGCTTGACGGTAACAACAATCAATGTTTTCTCCCTTAAATACAACGTTTCATATTTGTTCTATTCTGATTGTCAACCATTGGATTTGGTTATGGGAAACTATCTCTTAAAATATTACTACATCAGCTAAGATTATGATGTGAGGAATCCAATCTTGATTGCTCCAGAGCTAATTGAACAATGCCACAAATTTAGAGCTCGTTTGATAAGACCCAAATGAGCTGCAATGTCCGAAATGGCTGTATTGGTCGATTCATTTGTGGGGGAAAAATATTTTAAAAATATTTTGTTAATTAATTAAAGAAAAAAATATATGAAAAAATAGCTAAAATGATCCTCTACAGTAACTTGAGCCAATGCATCCAGGAAAGTAACTTCAACCCTACTTTTTCTTATTATAATCGTGAAACCAAAACTTTAGGATTGAGAAGCCTGAAAAGCCAAAAACATAGCTACCAAACGGGCTCTTAATTAGTGTGATTCGACCAAATATGAATGTTGGCAACATACATCATGACCTTTAGGATTGAAGGATGACCTGAAAATCGTCTTCAGTCTTGTTTCATGTTGAGTCGTTAAGATGCAAAACTCTTCGATATTACTTTTTGAATGAAATGTACATAAAGTGTGTGCATATAGGGGTGGTTTCAAGTAAAAAAAGTAGTCTTCCCATGAAAAGTGAGAACAAATATTGGCCTTTGATCACTGGAAAATGGCTCGATTAGATGAACTTTAATCACAAGAGACGTTTCAAAAAATGTGCAAATGTTTATGCTACAAAGTGGATAGTTAATAATAAAAAATGCACTGTGTGTCAAAAAAGATTGTCAAATATTTCTGACTTGTGCACTTTTTATTTTGTATTGTGTTGCACTTTTGTTCTCAACATGTGTACTTTTTGCCTATTCGGATACACATTTGTCACAATATTTTCATTAAAAGTTCTTCATGATTATCAAAATGACACGGCGTTTCTAACTTCAAAGTTGATCTCTTTCATCCATTTTTTCACATCAATGACCAAGATTAGTTCTTATTTTTCACGTACCTAGGAAGTACTTTTTATTTGAACCAAACCCAAACTCTATGTACACACATACACACACACACACACATATATATATATATATACACCCAAGAATATGAACACACAAAAAAAAATATTAACACCCAAGAATGAAAAGTAACACATAGTATAACAAAAAGGTCATTCGTGAGGGTACTACATTAAAACTAAAAGTGCAAATGCACAAGACATACCTAAATATGAGGATTTTATCAACATAAGAGCCTTCCTTTTCCAATCAAAATAAGGTCATCTGTGAGGAAACCACATTCAAACTCTATGATATTATGCCATTGCATATTTGAGTGAACGAATGACGAATCTATGTAAGTCATTCTAAAGATGCAAGTACGTTTGTTTGGTTTGGGTAAAACAGAACTGATGAAGAAGCTGAGATACCAACAAATAGAGGGGGAGGACATGGTTCTCAAGTATCAGATTGTCCCAGAGGATCTAGACGCCTTAGTGTCTGTAAAAACCGACGAAGATGTGGGGTACATGATAGAGGAGTGTGAACGGCATAGGACCGTTGGGGGATCCACAAGACTCCGAGCCTTCCTTTTCCCATCAAAGCCAGTTGTGGTGCTAGAACAATCCCCCTTCAGAATCATCTCACAGGAGGCAGCCATAGAACAACTCTACATTGATGCCATCAACGGCATAATCCACCGCAACAATATGGTGGAGGGGTCAAAGTCATCCGAGGAGTCAGGAAAACCCAATCTTGCCTTGAATAGTCCACAGGTTTTCAGCATTTCCTCTGCTTGTACCTCCCCGAAATCACCTGATGATGATATTGTCAGCAGCAGTCATAGTAATAATATGATGCTAAATATGGGCGGTTTCTTGAATGGCGGTGGGGGTGGTATGCATAAAGTTCAGAGCATGCCTAGTTTTGGTAGCAGCAACTTGAGTGGTGGTGGTCATCATCATCACCAGCAAAGTGGTCATTATACGCCTCCGTTAAACGAGTCTCCGCGATCTCCTCATTACCAACAACGCAGCATCATGCACCACAATAATCATTTTCATGGATATCAGTTTGGCAGGCCAATGGTGGATCCTTACAGAGGGCCAAAGCCCAACATGATGGGCTCAGTTAGGTCACCCGGCAGTCCTCAACACAGAAACCACTACTGCTACCCAACGAGGCAGAGGCAAGGAGGCAGGATGATAGGGTTGAGTTGTAACAAATGCATTATGATGCCTGATGATTGTTATTATGAGAGAAGAGCAGTCAGAAGTGCGTCCCCAAGTCCTATGCCCCTCAGTCCCCGATATGGCGGCGGTCATACAATGGCATAAGCAGACTGAGACTACTTTCAACTACCACATGGGGGTTGGTTCACGCCTATACCCCACTCTCTTAATCGGCTCTTCCCATATCAACCTCATCTTTGATGCATCATCATTATGAGGATATCTGGAGTTGATATCAATTGTAATATTCTTCATCTTGTCTCAGTAGGTGTGGTTGTATAAGTAGCCTTAGGAAGTAAGTGTAACTTGTTGACATTGTATAAATAGAACAGCAGGCAGTTACACATCAATATATATTTTTGTTTAATAGTGTTTGTTACTTTTTTGTTCTTCAAATCTAGGCATATAAAATATTTTGTTGTACTATTCTTTCGGCTACTTCTCTCGTCTTTGTGTGTATCACGTTCCTCTTCTTCTTGTCTTTATGCAGGAATCCTATGACACCCCAAAATCCAGTCTAGTTGTTATTAATCTTAAATTAATCATTTATCTCGTTTAATATTGCAGTATAAATTTAATAAAATGTAACACCCCACCTGGATCGGCCCCACCGACCCGAGCGGGTGGGGTGTTAGAAATCCTCTCTAACCATCATCTCTACACATAGGGGATCTAGAAATCAGGATTTGACTAGCCTAAATACTTAACATTAGAGGGTTGGCTAAATATGAAAAATGAAAAAGTTTATGCCAAAACAATTTGGAAAAAAATAAGTTGCCTTGGCTTCAGCTACCATAGCCCTAACTATATCGTCCCCTCCCTCTACATGTATCATCAAAATTCATTGGGATTTTGTGTGTGTTAGTTCATATCAGGAATTGTGTAAGAGTTAGACATTATATTGGCAATCCACAATGTAAATGTAACCGTAGTTATAACTAGCCCGCAAAAGTTGAAGATCTAAGGCTACGTTTCCTTCTATGAAAATACTTTTGGGGACAATCAGGGCATGTTTCCTAGATTCCTGGATTTTAGTGTGGCTGGAGATTTTTTTATTCACGGAAAGGTCTCTTTTTTCACGGAAAGGTCTCTTGTGTCTGGCACCGGAAGATAACTTTTTAAGGGAAAATAATTTCTATTTTGTTGAGTAAGTGTTATGTTTAACATGGAAGTGATGGAACAGCTTGTTTTAAGGAAATTAAACAATTTCCGACATAGCCTAATAATTGACAAACAAAAAAAAGATATTTGGGCTGTTTTACTCATACATTTCAGAGCGTACATCATCATGGGGCAATGTTGAATGTTGATGGTGATGTCTTGCTTCTTCTGTGTGCCTTAATAGTTATCATCATGGGGCAATAATGTTGAATACTGCAATATTAAACGAGATAAATGTTGAATGTTACTTATATCTCAAGCCTGAAAAAGAGACCAACTTGCCTATAGAAATGATTACATGATTAAATACCAAATATTTAGACGTAAGTCAACCCAAAATCAAAGTGAATGGTCCAAATCAGAAAAAAAAATCATTTTTAGTCTCATGACTATTATGTCACTTCCACATTCATCCTCTGAGTTTCAATTTAACCAAATGTAGTTCTTGACCTTTTCCACGTAACCACCCGTGGTCCTTCCGACCACAATTCCGGCTAAATTTAACCGGAGCCCAATTAATGAAGGTTAGTTGCGTCATTTAATAGCATTTATTGGTTTGCAACCTAACTCCAATGTTGGATAATTGATACCCATATTGTATAAACAAGAGAGATTGAACAAGAATGGAGAAAAAATAATGAAAGTGTATAGAATGAATGAATATTTGTTATGGTTTACAAGCCTCCTATAAGGAGTATATATAGGGAAAATCCGGGTCTGGGCCTCTAATATGGGCCTGACAGACCCGGTTACATAAATGGACTGATAGTATAAAAAGCTAATCTAGAACATCTTAATAATAATAATGTACAATAATATGAATCCGCTAAACGTGTGTGGGCCGTTGTCCAGGCCCAGTAGTCGGCATACCGGGGGATCGAAGTCCATATACTCCATCATCCAACGTTTAAAGGATTCAGTCAACCGCAAAATTAGAAACGCACTCCCTGACCATAGCTTCTCCCTCGCCATACCTTCTCCTTGCCATGGCTACTGTACTCGCTCGTCGGTGTGACATAGCAACAACGTTTGAGTGGGTGCAGACAAGCATCTCACCATATCTTCTCCTTTGCCATGTCTAGATCAAAATCGGGTAGTTCAAATTGTACGGGCCAATATGAATATGGAGAGTGGATTCCGGTGAAGTATTGTGAATGTGGGCAACGAATGAAGATGTTGACAACTTGGAAACCAGAGAACTGTGGGAGTAGGTTTTGGAAATGCATTGGAAGTCAGGTCATATATAGTTGTAATATATGAAATATTTAGAAATTCGATATTGGTTGACTGAATTGGAAAATATATATGTTCTTGCAGAGATTTGAAGGTTGTGGTTTGATGGAGTGGTTTGACCCTCCGATGTGCAAAAGGTCTAAAAAAATAATCCCTGGATTATTAAAAAAACTGAATGCCTATGAAGAAAAAATCCATTCATTGGAATTGAAGGTTCAAACATTGAAGACAAATTGGTTCAAAGCACAGAAGAAGAAGACAGAATGTAGTAACTGCATTACAATGGTGTGCTTTATGTGTGTTGTGGTTATTATTGTTTCAGTGTACTTGAAAGGCAAATAATGTAGTTGTAGTGGTGATGAGGTGTGTTATGATGTACTTGTAAAAGCTTTGTAAAAGTTGTTGATTATCATGATTTGGTATGAAATGAAATGAAAGTTATATGATCATGAGTCACATATGTATGCTAACTGATGACTTGAAAATGTGCTTAACACATATGTATGCTAACTAATGACTTGAAAATATTGGACCACAACCCTCACTTAAAAAACATGCAATTATGACTAAGTTAACAACCATATAGTCATTTGACAAACTTAACAACCTCTTAATACATCACTACCAATGTTTGAAGTTACTTAACAACCTGTTAATACATTACATGAAATCATACACAACCAAAATGCTAATCCATGCATTACATGAGATCATCCAAAAACCTGATATCATAGACAACCAAAATGCTAATCCATACATTACATGATCACACTGAGATCATAAATAGCCAAAGTATCTCAAAAACATAGAAGCTTTAACAATACAATCACTTCCAAAAAGCCAAAAAGGTACTACATTACATTACATCATCAAAGTAGCATCATGAATACACATTTTAGTCCACCCACTACTGTATATCAATGGGGTCATCATCATTTCCAAAGAAGACTGATTTGAAAGTTGTTTTGGATCTAGTAGCATAGGTTGGTCCCCTGTTAATGCTGAGTTTGGGTGCTTTGACTACATTTGAACTGCTCTTATTTTGACAAGGGGTGGTCCATAGCATATCCTAATCCCTTCTTTTATCCTCTGGTATGTCCCAACAGTCTCTTCTTCTGAAACCTCTTCACTCTCTCCTTTGGGGCTCTCTTCTTTGGTATCTTGTTTGCTCCCTTCTAAGGTTTCTTTTTTGCTCTCTTCTGAGTCTTGACTGACCTGTGTCTCTTGAGTAAACATAGCAGTGTCCTCTATACTCACAACAATAGGAACCTGACATGCAAAATTTGCTCCTTCAGCAGACTGCATGGTAATGCCAATGAGGTTGAGGTCGTCATAAAGGTTGGTGTGATCACCAAGGGTGTCCTCTGTTGCAACCCTCTCATCCCTAGGCTCCTCAACTCTATCATGCACTCCAACACTTTGCTTGATCTTTGGTTTCCTACTTCTTTTTCTAGGTTGCAGTTGATTACATGTAAACACATAGTAGTTAATGCACACATTATACACAATATACTATAATAATAAAATAAGCTTACAAAATATAGATGCACACAATACTAGCTTTTCCTTGTTGTTAGGATCATCTGGACGTCTCCTATCATTGTGACCAGCCTTCTTGCACTTTGAACAATGCAATTTAATACGTGTTCTTGCAACTCGGACACCATTTGTGCTCAAATCTACTGCAGATTTCCTCCTTAGTTTTCTTGGTCTTCCAACTCTAGCAGCATATACAGGTGGAAGAGGGGGAAGTCTATCAGATCAAGGCCACTCATCTGGGCCTGTCATTGGCTTTATGGACCCTCCATAGATCTTCAAATAGGTGTCCTTGGAATAACATGGGTGGACATATGCATCAATAGGGCCTTTTCCAAATTTCAGCCATATAGCACTGATTGCATGCTTGCAGGGGATCCCAGTTAAGTCCCACTGCCTGCAAATGCATGTTCTCTTCTCCAAATCCACACCATGTTGGTTGCCCTGGCTTCCCATTATCTCAAAATCATTGTCACCGCACTGATATCCAATCAAACTTGCAGCTAACTTCTCAGTGTCTTGGATTTTCTTGGCTATTCTAGGGCGAATATTTGAAGACCACTTCCTTGCCTTGGTCCTCCTAATGAACAACTTTGTTAGAAGTAGTTTCCTGATACTTTCTAGACACACCAAAAGGGCTTGTTGTCTGGCCTCAAGTATGGCACTGTTAAAGCACTCACAAATGTTGTTGGTCAACATGTCAGTTTTGGAGTGAGTTGAGAAGTGTGCTCTTGACCATTCTCGGGGGTGCTTGTCTGCCAGCCACTCAAACGCTTGCCCATCAATTTCTTTGAATTTGGATAGGGCAGCTTTATAAGAGTTAATAGTGCATGCCTTGCTACATTCCCAAATACAATCTTTTATGGTTTTCCCAGTAAAACCTGCAGCCTTCATGTTGCCATGTAGATGCCTCACACAAAATCTATGCTCAACACCGGGTAACAATTCATTCACAACTTGAATTAGCCCTTTCTGCTTGTCTGACATCAAAGTGAAAACATGCTCATTTGCTTATGTGATATCAGCATCCCTCTTCACCAGGTTCAAGAACCAAGCCCAGGATTCCCTACTTTCATACTCAACAATAGCATAAGCGAGTGGAAAGATGATATTATTTGCATCAATTCCAATTGCAACTAAAAGCTGACCCCCAGTAGTTGTTTTCTGATGGGTCCGTCAACCCCAAGCACTGGTCTACACTGTTTAAATCCTTCCCTGCATGCTTCGCAACACATATACATCCTCAGAAATCTTTGTTGTCCATCCATTTCTACATTTTCACTCAATTTCACAACACATGTGCTCCCAGGATTGGTCCTTCTTATTTCAGCCATATATGACCATATCTTCTTGAAGTAATCTTCTTCTTCACCTTTCAGTTTTCTCTTAGCCTTACTTATTGCTCTATAAGCTTGCCTGAGACTCAAATGGAAGCGTTCTTCAGCACATACTTTCTGTCTAAATTCTTTGGTTTTCCAATTTGAGTGACCCTCAATCTCCTTGAACCACCTATTTGCTACCTTGCTTGAGTTCACCATTTTGTTGTGATAGACCCAAGAGCAACCTTCATGTGTGTCATGGTACTGTAAAATCCTCCAAGAACGAGAGTTCATTACCTTTCTAAGATTCATCTTCCATGGGCAGCCTATATGCTTGCACTCCACAACAACCCCTTCCTTATCATTTTTGACAAACCTCACCTCTTTACCATTCTTAAACGCATGATTTTCCACAACTTTGAATTCCTGTTTGGTGCCAAATGTCAAACTCAGTCTAAAGGTAGGGTCTTTCATATCAGTCTTGGCACAGAATTTAGTCCACTTCTCAGAGTCAGTGTCAGATTCATGTATGGAACCATCATCAGACAAGTTAGGATCCGGGTCCACCATTGAAGCTTCAGTGACATTTTCTTCTCCTTCACTATGTTGTTTAACCCTCCATGAGTAGACAACACAACATCCTCCTTAGAAATGAAGTCTTCCAAATTAGAGTCATCCTCATCCCTAGAAAAGTGTTCTAAGTCGTTCTCACTGAAGTCACTATCTTCAGGGTCATCATCTTCTTCAGTGTCACCACTAGGTTCTAATTCTATCCAAAACTCCACCACCTTACCAACATTTCCATCATTCACAATTCCTCAAACTTCTGCCTCATTATTTAGTTGCTTTAAGGACTCATTCTCATGTGAATAGGAATACACGGTCATTATTTAGTTCTTGTAATTTCTCATTCAACTCAATCAAACCAAACTCATCAACCTCTACATCATGAAAATAATGGATTGACCCTCCCAAGTATGAAGGTTTATCCATGTGATTTACTTTTCCTCCATAAAACAACCTCAAAGTAAAAGTGTTTCCACAGTTGACTGCACCTGTTTTATAAATAAGGTCAATAATGTGTTTGAAAGGTTAACACAACACCATAAATGGGTCTAAGCTTGCGTAAATATAAATGTGAACTGGCCCTATGTCTTAAATGGTTAAAGACAACCGGTCAGGGGAATTTAAGCCAAAAAAACACATGCCTACCCTACCATGTTTTGGAATAAAGGGAAAAAAGGGAAAAGGGAAAAGAGAACCTCAAAATAAAACCCCTAACATGTGCAAACACTGCAAACACCGTATATATAAACCTCAGTTCAGCCTTATATTCATTATTTTCTTCCACTCTTTTAAAAAAGTTCACCCTCTTACCTTTATCACCAACATTTGTTGGAGAACGCCGTTCAAGACTTGTTCCTTCTCCTTCACGTTGTCGGTCCAGACGGGTCCTCAATCTCCTCATTGTTTGAACGATTTTGGGGATTTCTCAAGCTGAAGGAAGCTTTCTTCAGAGGGAGAGGAGAGTTCGGTTTTTGAGGTAGAGGGAAACGACGGTATTAGCTCACCATTAAGTTAACTTAATTGAGTAGTTTACTAGGTAGCCGTTTTTGTAATTTAAATTTACTAAAATACCCCCAATAAATGTTCGTTAATTGAGCTCCGGTTAAATTTAGCCGGAATTGTGGTCAGAAGGACCACGGGTAGGTATGGACTCGGGCCGGGTGGCCCAACCCGGAACCGGCCCGGGACCGGTACTGTTCCGGCCCAGCCCGACCCGGTGGCCCGGTCAGTGACCGGTCCGGGTAGGCCCGGCCCGTGGGTTTTCCGGTCCGGGCTCGGGTCACCCAAAACAAGGCCCGACCCGGCCGGGCCCGAGCCCGGCTCGGGCCAAAAACAATTTTTTTTTCAATTTTTTTAAATTTTTGGGTTGGGCTGGGTATTTTGAGCCATTTGGGGTGGTTTGGGGGTTGGGGGTGGGAGGGGGGTTAATTAGGAAGAGGAAAACAAAAAAAAAATTATAATGGGCCCGACCCGGACCGGACCCAGTGGTTACCCGGGCCGGTCCCGGGTCCACCATTTCTGACCCGCCGGCCCGCCCGGGCCTAGGCCCGACCCGGACCCGGCCCGGATCCGAGTCCATCCCTAACCACGGGTGGTTACATGGAAAAGGTCTTGACTACATTTGATTAAATTGAAACTCAAGGGATTAATGTAGAAGTGACATAATAGTCATGGGACCAAAAGTGAAATTTTTTCGTGAAAATTAGAACCCGTATTAACTCGGAAATAGCTGAAATTGATGAAAATCTGGTTGAAACCACTAAATTATTTGAATCGGATTAATTAAAAAACATACTATCAATATTTTAAAATATTTTTAATTAATAAAAAAGAAAAATATATATGAACCAGGACTTGTTTCACTTTGGTTACTTTGAATCAGGTGGTCCTCGTGGGAAGGAATTTCACTTTCAATTTGGTAATATTGTATACTAATACTCCCCCTGTGTTTGTACAATCCTTTTGTTTCTCACACCATACTTGTACGTTACTCTTGTACACATAAGAACTTCATTTACAACAATTCTAACATTTTTGTCAAGTACGCCTAAACAAATTTGCATCTAGGATCACCAAAAAAAATATTGTTAGTGAGGATAATGCAAAATGGTAGTTGGTGTATAGAAAAATCACATTATTTTGGTCTTGCCGTCTTGGTGTTTTCTCTCAATTGCTAGCAATAAATTAACTCTCAGATATTTTCCCTGACTCCCCCCTCTTCTATTTTCTTACCCTACCAAGATCTAAACAGACGCATCCCAATGAATCGAGCAAGGGTATGGCCATAGCAAGAGTCGACATATAACAAGTTCAAAAATACACCCAACATTTTACTGGGGGCCATGTTGTTTGGAAGACAGCGCTCTCCAACCAATATCCCGACGGTAGAAACCACCCGGCCAATCAATCTGCTCAATGCCATGGTACACTCTGTCACGTGCCTCTGCAAGATCCTTTCCTGTGGCGGTGACCCCAAGGACGCGTCCTCCAGTTGCAATGAAATTTCCATCTGCGTCTACAGATGTTCCGGCATGGAAAATTTTCACCATTGGGGAACTCTTATGCTCCGCTTCCTCAAGGTTATGAATGACTGATCCCTTTTTGTATTTTCCGGGATAGCCCTCGCTGGCCATTACTACCACCATAGCTGACCCAGGTGACCAGTTCAGGGATATCTCATTTAGCTCTCCATGACAGGCTGCAAGCAGGACCTGGACCAAATCAGATTCCAAGCGAACCATCAATGCCTGCAAATATAGGTATACTAACAAATCAGACTGATTTCAATTGAGACATTAACCAACTTGTATCAATATTCAACTAAGTTTCCAACATCATAAGAAACAAGTCTCTTTTGATCAAGGATTTATGTTAGGACATGGCACTGATAAGCATTGCAATTAGCTCTTTTGATCCATACGAGAAAAGAAAATGGATTTGCTAAAACCTTCAAACTGAACAAAAACAAAGTTTGGAAACTTCACGGAAGATAAAAGAGTATAGAAATTACTCCAAATAGAAGTAAAACTATGGCAAAAATCTCAAATAGAACTTATGTTTTTATTCCAAAATAGGACCTATTTGGAAACATACCAATTTTTTCATCCCATTCTTACCCCTCCTTTAAATATGAGTAAAAGGTAGTCAAAAGTCACAATTAATGTTTTAATTCATAATAAATTCATAATAAATTAAAAAAAACGTAGAAAAATAATAAAAAATTAATAAAATATTTATAAAATAAAAAACTAAAAAAAAAAAAAAAAATAGTAAAAATCCATAAAAAAAATTAAAAAAATATGGATGCCTTTCACATCGCCTTAACTGCCTCCATGCACCACCACCTACGACCGGTGTAAAAAATGCCATGTTTCCTTAAAAACCCATTTTTTCCTGAAAATGCCAAAAAACGGCATATTACTCTTTCAGAATTCCAAAGTTTTCATTGAATCTGCCATAAATATGGCATTCCAAATAAATGTGGCATTTTTTCCCCAGTGGCCGGAGATGTTGGTGCTAGGGTGGCAGAGGCGGCGGTGATTTTTCTTTTGCGTTTTTAATTTTTTTTTTTAATTTTTTTAAAAATTAGATGCCTTTCCCACCGACTGTACTGCCTCCCTGCACCACCTCCGATTGGTGTAAAAAAAATGCCATTTTTCAAAAAAAAAATCCATTTTTTCTGAAAATGCCGGAAAAATGGCATATTACTCTTTGCTAATGCCAAAATTTTCATTGAATCTGGCATAAATATGGCATTCCTGATGCATGTGGCATTTGCTGATTCTGCTGAAATTTATGAAGTTCTGGCTGAAGTGGCTTTATTGGTTGATTCTAATGATTTGTGGGGAAAAAATATTCAAAATATATTTTATTAATTAATTAAAGAAAAAATATATGAAACAATAACTTAAATGATCCTCTACAGTAACTTCAGCCGATACAATCAAAAAAGTAACTTCAACCTTAGTTTTTCTTATTATTACACAATTCAGCGCGTGAAACCAAAAATTACTTGTTTGGTGAAAAAGTTGGCTGATAAGCCTTAAAAGCCAAAAATCATGGCTACCAAACGGGCTCTAAATAGTTTGTTTCATATGATTTCCTAGTTCCTATCATCTTTCATGTTCAAACATAGCCTTCGAGGATTAGGCATAAGAAATATTGCAAGCATGGACAAACAGCAAAAATGTTACCGAACCTGGCACTCAGGATCTCCAAAACGCACATTGTACTCTATTAACTTAGGTCGTCCAGATTTCTTCTCAATCATTAACCCGGCATACAGAACCCCAACAAATTTGCACCCTTCTGCATCCATTCCCTTCACAGTAGGAAGAATGATAGACTCCATAACCTCAGACTGGAGTTCTTTTGTCAGCACAGGTGCCGGAGAATAAGCTCCCATTCCACCTGTATTAGGTCCTGTGTCACCGTCCCCGACCCGTTTATGGTCTTGAGCCGATTCCAATGGTATGGCATGTTCGCCATCCACTAATGCAAAGAAAGAAGCTTCCTCTCCTTCCAGGTACTCCTCAACCACAACTTTTGAGCCCGAAGAGCCAAACATGCCTCCCAGAAGCATCGAGTCTACAGCCTCAATTGCTTCCTCAAGTGTCATGGCAACGATCACTCCTTTACCGGCAGCCAATCCATCTGCTTTGATTACAATGGGGATGCCTTTCTGTTTAATGTACTCTTTTGCTTTTGACGGTTCTGTAAATGTTTGATACTGCACCAGTAATAATTGTTAGTATAAATATGAAATCCTTCTCAAATAATAACAGTTATTCTACTAAGATTTGAGGTTCCATTTTAAAAGGTCAAACTTGACTGATGGGTAACCCAAGGTTATCTTATACTACATTGTTAGTTTATATTTAGCCAATGTAAGACATACTTCTCCACACCACCTTCATCACGGCTAAATGTAAAGTATTGACTGTACAATTTCTTTGATAGGGACCACGTATGGCAACAAGTTGTATTGTTTCTAAAAAAAAATTACTTCGGGGGGTCTGGGGGAGGGGGCTGAGGGACCTGTAGTAATCAGGGCTGAAACTCACTTCATTGAGTTTCAAACCCTTGTGTGCCTAACGGGTTTCGAACTTGAGACCTCCCACTAGGCACGGTAACCTCACAACCAGCTGGGCTGGAATGCTTGGTTAGAGATGTAAAAAATAATTTTTCACAAACAGGACTAAAACTTACTACCTCCGTCCCAAATTGATTTGCAAATTTGACTTTTCTTGGTCAAACAGTTTCATTTTATTTGCTTAATTAGGATGTTAATTTTTAATTATATTCTAAATTGGAGTTTACAACTTTAAAGAGATTTTAATGTAGTTTCTGAATATATAAATTGTAATTATTAAAAATTGAATTGATTATCGATAGGGAGCATTGACTTTTTTTATTGGTTGACCAAAGACTGTTGACTTTGCAAAACAATTTGGGATGGAGGGAGTAAATTTTTCACAAATAGGACTAAACATTAATTTTGTACCCTTAATACCCCTAAGGGTCATAATAAAATGTTTTAATTCATAATAAAATGTAAAAAATATTAAAAAACGTACGAAAATAATAAAAAATTAATACAATATTTATAAAAGAAAAATTTAAATTTTTATGAAAAATATAGTAAAAACCGTTAAAACACATAATAAGTATTAAAAAATATGAATGTCTTTCCCACCACCTCTACTGCCTCCCAGTACCCCCACCTCCGATCGGTGAAAAAAATGTCATTGTGTAAAAAATGCCATTTTTTCTGAAAATGCCAAGAAAATGGCATTATTACTCTTTGATAATACCAAAATTTTCACTGAAACTGCCATCAATATGGCATTACTAATGCATGTTGTAATTTTTTCTGGTGATTGGAGCTGGTGGTGGTGAGGGTGGCAGAGGCGGCAGCAAAGGCCTGTTTATATGTTTTTTTTATGTTTTTTACTTTTTTTTAATTTTTTAGTTTTTTTATTTATAATTTTTATTTTTCTAATTTTTTATTTTTATCAATTTTATTAAATATTTATTTTAGTCCAAAAAGCTACAGTGGTATATTTGTCCAAACACACATAATTAGTCCTATTTAGGGAATTTAAAACAATTTAGTCCTATTTGTGATTTTTAGCTACCTTTTACGAAATTCACTCCGAGAAATATGGAGTTATGGACCGTGCATTTTCGTCATGCGGCATATTGAATACGGAGTAACAAACTACTGTTATTATTGATATAAGTTTTCCCTTGTAAACGACTTCATACTTTCTCAGGTAGACATGTTACTAATACACTTCTTATACAGGAAATTAATGGACTCCAAGTTTGAATGAAGGGTTCTGATGGCTTAGATATTGAAAGATTAATATAGAAATTGAGAGATTATCATGATATATATAACATTTCACGCACCTTTTTTTGTTCTAGGAGCATTGCATTTATTCAGATATAAAATAAGGTTGCCAAACCCTTCAAAAACCCTCCATCCAAACAGATCCTTGATTCCTTGGTGATATGGGCTAGACCTATGGTTTAGAACTAGTGTTTATAAACCCTTCAAATGACATTAAAATATTAGCTGCATGTGAGAAAGTGTGAGACAAACTTTTGCTGTTGGGATCCCATACTTGTCACACAAGCTCTTCATGAAGCTTTTTGACCCTTCCAAGGCAGCAGCTTCTGAGGAAGGGCCAAAGGTCGGGATTCCTGCCTTGCCAAGAGCATTACTGAGGCCTGCCACAAGAGGAGACTCGGGCCCAATAACAACCAGCCCAACCCCCCGTTTGTGGCAAAATGAGATCACGTCTGAACTATTGAATATATCTAGGTCCGGTATGCAGGTAGCATCTCCTGAACGAGAAATTCCAGCATTACCAGGAGCACAGAAGACCATATCACATGTAGGTGACCGTTGTAAAGCAAAACAAAGTGCATGCTCCCTTCCTCCTCCACCAATGACCAACACAACCACCCTTCCTTCTTCTGCAATAACATTTTAAATAGTTAAATACAATATATATATATATAATGTAATAGATTATTCATTAACCCAAAAAATACTCCTTCCTGCTGAGGCATCACCAACAACAAAAAGTCTTGTTTCAAAAATCAAAACTTCATTCTGGCCACAAAAAGTAAGTCATGGCTTAACACAGGAAGTTAATTTTACTTTTAAAATGAAAAATAGTTCGACTAACAAAAATAAAAGTAGAAGTATGATGAATGATTTACTTAAGATTTACTGCCAAAATAAAAGTTGTGCCTTCACAAAAAAGGACCCTTTTTCGGGACAGATGGAGTAACCAATAAGGTTCAGTTTAGCTTAAACTTCTTTACACACTGACTTTGAAGTGAGGTGCTAATTTTAATTGAATCTAATGTAATTTCAAGAGTTATACGTTGGAAAAGTAAAGAAAATTTATTTCCATAAAACATGAGTTTTTAGTTGCATAGGGGTAACAATAAGGTCTAGTTTAGTTCACATTGCTCGTATTGAAGCAAAGAAAAACGATGTTCAGTTCTTACGAGATGTGTCATTGTAAGTAGAAAGGGCATTGAAAATGGGCTGGACCGATCTGTGAGATATGAAAATCCGGGGAGAGCGAAAATTAAGCGGGACATTGACACATCTGGTGTAGGAAAAGCTCAGACGATAGATCTGTTGCTGCAGAAAGTAATGTTGCTGATTGGAGAGGAAACTCGAGGCAGCATAAGAAGCTGCTCTGGTACCAGATGAAAGGCAAGCCATTCAACAAGCCCTAATGACAGTGGCATACCATAGATCATTTTATTAGAGAGAAAAAACTCATACATCTAAATGAAATGCAACTGCATAGTACTATACTCCACATGGTAACATGTAAATTTACATATCACCAGGGACAGTCATGTTTGCTTCAAAGCCTATGGCGGGTAATTTATAATGGGCCTAATCTTAAAAAAATTATGAACACCTTTTCTTTAAAACCTATGGGCGGTTAATATTCGAAAAATTATAATGATATTTCAAAAACGTTATAATAACGAAAAGTCAAAGATAAAAATAAATACTACAGGAATAATAGTTTTTGCCAAAGTCAAATACAAAAAACACCACATTTACAACTGTTCTGTACTGGTTTTCATCGACTAACATTAGTGTACATGTCTTATTTAATAATATTATTTGAGGACATTATCATATGGATGATGAAGTGATATGTTGGGGTTTTCCAAATCAATACAGCAAAAATAAGTTTAATACATTTTGATAAGGTGTTAGAGATTAACCAGAAAGTTAATAGCAAAAACTGTTTTTCCCTTTATATACGAATGATAAGTATGCTAAAGTATAAGTATGATGCATACATTTTCAAACATTATATCATTTTAAAATATTGATAACTTAAGACTTTTTTGAAAAGAATCATTTGAAATTTATAAGAAAGAAGAATCAACGCTCAATACTTTTTATGCTAATTAAAATTAACATTGTTAAAATCACTGTACGTTTTACTGTTTTAGTTGTCCATCTTCTTTGAGAATATATATTGCATAGAACGGGTGTGGAATAATCTTTTGTTTCATTGTTCCAAGAGAACACATTTTCACTATTATGTTTCCTGTGTTTCAAACTGAAAAGGATTGAAAGATTTAGTTTTAAACGATGACAATGAAAGCAAAAATGAGACCGCTAATATTGCGTATAAAGAAGTTTTTAAAAATTTATAAAATCAAATTCATCTTTCCATTTTATAGCATATATATTTTATTACACTGACATTTTGTTTTGCTATACTTGTTTCTTTGTTTTTGTACTTTCTAAATTACTGTCAGGTGCATAATAATCTTTTACAGTTTTACATTGACATTTTTTATTATTAAAAATGTTTTGGTTGTGTACTCTTTTAAATTATCCATTGTGATTAATAATGAAACAAACAATTCCACCGTGCATCCCTAGTAATACTAACAAAAACTAATGAGAATAAGGAATTAATACTAACTAATGATATTAATTATAAGAAAATCACAATCAAATTGATGCTAATGTGAATGATGCTCGCAAATGACAAATCACAACTTACAAATCGCAAATCACATTAAGAATAAATGTTAAAAATGGCCGGTGGGCCACTCAAATCAGAAGTAAACATAATTATAATTTATAAAATTAGAATTATATACGGCTGAAATCCTAAACTCTAGAATTCTGGGAATAAAGGTTGTATTCTAAAGCTGAAAATTAAAAGTGTAACAAAATTAAACAATTAAAAACCCTACCTCAAATCTGAAGAGGCGAAGAGCAGAACAACAAGGCTCAGTCGAGCAGAGATCTAGCGGCTAGCAAGTAGAGGCGTCGTTCGCCGACAGCCGACCAGCGACCGGCGTGAGCCGTGCTTGCGTGACCAACTGACGAAGAGGGCGAGCCGACTGAGCCCGCCTGGACTTCAAGTAGCTAAGAGGACGAAGTGACGAACGGACGATGCTGGATGCCAGTCTGCGGTAGTTGCTTATAAGGATGGACCAGGGCAGGGCTGTTCAGGGCCGGGCCGGTTCCGGGACGGGCCAGTTCCGGACCGGTTCCGAGCCGGTTCCGAGCCGGGCCGGTTCTGGGCTGGGCCCGGACTCGGCCGGACCTGAGCTCGGCCGGGCTTTTTTTTGGGAAAGGGAGAACCGGAACGAGCCCGGGTAGGCGGCGGTTCCAGGCAGGGCCGGGTTGGTTCCGGTTCAATTTGTTTTTTTGATTTCTTATTTATTTCACCCCACCCCCCAAACCCCTCGGAAATACCCAGCCCAACTAAACCCAGCCCAACACCAAAAAAACCAAAAAAAATAAAAACGGCCCAGACCGGGCCCAAACCGACCGGGGTTCTCATAAATCAAGCCCCGTGCCTGAACCGCCCTACCCGATCGGGCCGGTTCAAAGCCCGAACTGCCCTACCCGATTGGGCCGGTTCAAAGCCCGAACCGCCCTTCCGTCACCCGGGCCAGTCCGGGCCCGCACAGTAGCGGGCCGGGCCAGTTCACGGGCCGGGCTGAACCGGTTTGGGCCACCCCTAGTTGCTTATGAGTTCGGAACTTAGGACATCTTAGGTTTACTTACACAAATGCTAAAGTTACCCCAAAATGTTTCCAAATTTACACGAATTGGGGCACCACTTAAATGAATTGGTCCATTTATGACCACAAATTAGGGTTGGGTAAAAATGAGGTACATTTTGGGATACTCCTAGCAAAACTCTAAAACTTAAAACCACGATTGGAAAAATTACATGGTGAAAATTATAAAGTAAAATACGGCCTCCATATTTTAAAGAAAGGTGAATTCCCTAAATAGAATTAAAAAGGTTTTGAAATTTCAAAATAGGACTATCATGTTTTTTATTCCTTAAATAGGAGTAAATTTCTGCCAATTTTGACATTACCAGGTTTCAAAACATGGCATTTTTTTCAAACTTGGCAGATTACTCCTATTCAGGGAATAAAAAAACATGATACTCCTATTTTGGAATTTCAAAACATTTTTGGTCCTATTTAGAGCAATTTCTATTTAAAGAATGTTACATTAGGTTTGACACATTATTGAAAGAATAAAGTAGCAGCGATCATGAACAGGGTAGAAAAAATGGGAGTGAAGTTGTAAAAGTATGAAAGAGAAGATAAAAAATAGACAGAACTATCAAATAAGCCCTCGAACTTTCATAAAAAGTGCAAATAAGCCCTTTTGTAGGCGCCTTTGTACGGTTGTCGCCATTTGGGGTTGTTTCCGGTGGAAGATCTTGATGATATTTTTTGAGCATCTTCTTCATTAAGTCTAGTTTATCCATACCAAATTTCAGCTAAAAATCCAATCACTACTACAATAATAACATATAACGTCACCCATTTAACGTCGGTTCTTGAAAAACCGTCGTAATAAAACTATTTTACGTCGGTTGTTGTTAAAACCGACGTCATATGATTTTTAATATTTTTATTTCATTTTATTTAAAGGCGGATTACTACACAACTGCCTTGATAAGGGAGTCCGTTTTTTTACCTACGACGTCTTTTATACGAAAACAGTCGTTAAAAATACTCCGTATTTTTTAAAACAAAATGTATACGGTTATCGATCAACAGTTCAACACAAGACGCAACCAAGTCGATTGGGTTTATTCTGGGTAAGCATCGCAGGGTAACCAACGGATCTGGGAGAATCCGCCACAGCCACGAGTTGAAGTTACCGGTAGATCTTTGACAGCGACGCGAGGGGATTTGTGTCCACGGCAGGATTTCATCCATGCTGAGTGGTGACAGCAATTCTGCGCGTTCAACTTCGACGGGAGGGAGACATGCTTCCATACGGCGGCAGATCTGGACCAGAGACAGAGACGTATGGCGACTACACGCCTCAGATTTGCTCCCACACGTGTATGGAATCACGCTCGGATTCGACCACACACGTCTTGGACCGCCAGCAACGGCGGAATTTCAGCATCCACGTGGGCAAGATGCTTCACCCAACTGTGAGCAGACATCAGGCCTTGTCTTCTCGCGTTAGCTAGGCATAGGCGAACCACTTTGTGCACTTCGACGGCTCAAATTTGGGAGACCAACTGAGCGACAACCAATAGGGAATTGGAGGACTCAGCACCAGACGTCACAATTTCCTAATCCCAGTTATAGTGTGAATCCGGACAATCGTGTACTTCAAGCCGCCCCATCTCAACAATGGCTTCATCCCAAGATTCACATGTATGATTTTTATTCTTTTGGGATGAATTTCTCCCATGATTTTGCCCTATATTCAGGAAAATGTTTGAAAGTTTTCATTGTCCCATTTAGGATCTGTAGTTTTCTTTAAGTCTGAATTCCCTGATTATAAGAATTCCAGTCAACGTTTATAAATTGTATCGCTAATTAAAGAACATTAGTTGGGAGCTTGAGGTCATTTCATTCCCTTTACAACTAATAGACGTGAGTAGAAGCAATGAAACTTCTGCTTGGAGCTAAATCCAAAAGTGAAATTACAAATCAGACGAAAATGACTCCTTGATATCAAGAAGAGTATTTATAAACATGAATGGTCCCTTTAAACATGAGTGGTTACTTCTTAAAAATTTGGATAGGAGGGAAAGCGTGGAAGGGAGAAGTTTACCCAAGATTTGCATCTGGGAATCTGATAGCTATGCAGGCATATATTTGTGATATTGTTGATACAATGAAACCCTCTACTTTACACCAGGATGGGATAAGGCAGTCTAGGATAAATCCTTGTCTTTCAACGGGGAAGGGAAGAAGTCAGTCCAGAAAATATCAAAGGGTCATAAGGACTACGGTTTGATGCTCAATCTCTTTCCACAGTTTGATATATTTGTGGTTGCTAAACTGTAAGTACTATTTTCCATTTGCAAAATTTGGTCTCTGCACTCCCTATTTACCCCAATATTTTACTTTGCATCTAGGATCTAATAATTTCTAGTAAACTTAGCATTTCTAATTTACCTTAGTATTTCATTCTTATGTCTTAACCCACTCTAGATCCCTCAGGTGCCTTTTCAAAGAAAATAAGAATGGAAAAAAAGTAAAATATGGAGTAAAATATTGACTGCGAAGACTGTTATTTTGATTATTTGAGTGTTCGGTAGGTATGCACTACAATTTCTCAGGTTTTGTGAAGCTGGAGTTGAAGTTATTATAAAGGCAAAGCAAACTTAAGCTTACATCATTTTGTTCTCCAAAGGTATGCTCCTTTCTGTGCCCTATGAAAAAAGTTTTAATTCCATTTGATGTCCAAGTTTGTCCATGTGATATGTGATTTTCCAGAGTTAACTATTCTTGTAGGTCAGAGTAATAAGTCAGTGTCTTGAACTAAAGTAACAAACTAAATACCTTTTCTTACCAATTAGGGATAGTATTTTATTTTGGGATGGACAAAACAAAAATTATGAACATGATTCAGGGAGGTGTACTAATGTTCTGCTTGGACATATCTACTATTTTCTATGAATTAAGAAACTTGCAGAAGTTATCTAGTGATTGATAGGTACAAAGGATTATTTGATTTCTTAGATTTTTATGCAGTGGTTGCTACTTGCCAGGATTGGTTTAGTGACCCTATTGTCACTTAGTTTCAACCACACATTATCAATTTATCATGTTTAACTTCATCATTACCATGTTCATTTAGATCTTTTATTGTCACTTCACAGGAACAAAGTGACCTAAAACTTTAATTTAGAGATTTTGAGTCTGAAAATGCTTTTCCGCGTGTTGCTGCTGTTCAAAATATAATCGGAAGTGTAATTTTTCTTATTCTTTTGGTAATATGTATTCCATACATTTGGATTTTGGTGCCTTTCAATTATACAGAGTTTTAACAAATAGAAAAAAGTAAATGAGTTTGAACCAATATATTATTCCACCCCCCTGCAAATTTATATTATGTCCCATAGCTCTACTTGACAAAAGCAAAGAAGAGTACTTCTTTTCTTAAGCTTATGATCCTAAAAAGAAGAATCCAGTTAAAATTTAATTTTCTCTTTGCAGTTTGAACTTGGAGTAATTTTAGTCTACATCTTACATATTTTTCTTTAATTTGTTTTGTTTGCAAATTTACTTTGTAAAGCTCAATCACAGTAGTTAAGTTGTTATTAATTTTTGAAGACTTGTAATATTTCTTTTACACATATTTGTAGGTCGTTCAAAGAAACTACAAAGTCTACAATCTATAGTAGGACTTCTGCAAATTGATATGAATCTACAAAGTGGTGGTTTGTTTGTCCGGTAAAAACTTATATTCAAACAGTAAGCCAGTTTTAACATGTTGTACTTGTATTCTTTATGTGTATTTGTTCCGACCGCAGCGCACAATACAAGTGGGAAACGTTAAATGCAATTACTATTTCATGATGTTCGTGTATGACATTATATCTTTGAAGAGAGGTGATCTAGTAAAAATTATATACCGTTAAATAAATACTTTTTTGTTAATTAATTAACATTTTTATTCTTATATTTTTGTAGGTGTTTGGCCATTGAGATATTAAATTAAATACACACAAGGAGATTTGGATTTTGTGAGAGCATTGTGGTGCAAAGCAGTGTGGCTGTAAATGTAGTTAGAACATACTTCGTATATTGGGGTTTATGGTTTTATATTAAAAATGTTATTGCACATTTGTATTTGACGTTTAGTAATATTTCAATGTATTCGATTTATGTGATTGTAATACTGTGAAAGTTTGAGAAAAGGTAGTGCATTACGTGGGTGGAATGTGTATTGCTGGATTACATACCTCGAGAGAGTGCAGACCTGCACATGTACTAGAAATTTTAAAAAAAGTACAAAGGCGGTTTTGTTTTAAAACTGACGTTAAAGCATACGTGCACTTAGATATAGCACGTCGGGTATTGAAAAAACTGACGTTAAAAGCGATTTTACAAAATAAATTTGGAAATCTATTACGACGGTTTGCGGAGAAAACCGACGTTGTAAATTGTTTTTCACGTCGGTTTAAAAACAGCCGTGATATGTCTCTACTTATAACGTCTCTTACTTAGACGACTGTTCAAAAACCGACGTTAAATGTATGAATTAACCGACGTGATAAGTCTATTTTGTAGTAGTGAATCTAGAAGTCAGTCAAATGATTTTCTAAAATATACTGCGCTACCTAACTGTGCAGTTATCTTTACAAATTCATTTGACTACTTTCCCGATTGAATTTTTATCTGAAATTTG